CCACAGGTAACACAAACCAAGTATAAGAGGGAAATGAAGTTAAAAAAAAAAGGTCTGTGACCACCATGCAAAGTAACCAGTACACGTTAATTTGAAGAGATACAAACACTGAACTTGAAAGCAGATAACAGGTTATCTCACTGGATGGTATTGAATGCTACCTTACTATTCAAGAGAACGTCTACTTTGCTTGAGTGTGTTAATGGCGGAACGTGTGTGCACGTGAGAATTACCGTATACCTACACAGGTCAACTTTCTGAATGGCTTCTGTCACTGAGGCTTTGTGGTATACCTGAGAAGGTCCCGTACAGAGGAAACCACCAAGCCTCAGGAGGTGGGTAATCCTGGATTCCAAGTCAGGCTCCACCATCAACTCAATTAAATTATGTAACGTCTCTGAGCCTACGTGTCTCTGTCTATAAAACAGAGATGATACCACCAAAGGGCTACTGCAAGAAATATGTTAAGTTTAATGTAATTAAAATGCATTCCTACCCCCACACCTTTTCTTTTCAGTTATTCCTTCGGAACACACAAAGCAATTTAAATATTTACAAGGCTCTTACTATTGTATAAGTCCTCAAGACTGGACCCCGCAGGAGATAAGCAGATTATATAGTTGCTGTCCTCACAGGAGTTTACAATTTCGAGAGGTTAAGATAAACACAGAAGTAATACATACAGAAGAAATAAGTTCCACCTTAAGAGATCTCATATCACTGTGTACATACTTACGTAATCACTTATCACTGTACCGTACTATCCTGGAGTATAAGAATTTACACCTAGCACTAGGCTTGGGACTTAGCATGCAGAGGGAGGGAGGAAGCAGTCCAATGAAATACACTGAATCAATTTCTAATTACTGCCCCTTCCAAAGTATAGGAAGTTACTCAAGGTACTTTGGGGAAGGGGTGGGACAGGGGTGGGACAAACAGGACTTCTCCTGTTTGTAGCAGAAGGATCCTGTAGCAGAAGGATCACCTTTTGAAAATACTTTTTTAAACTCATGCCTTAAAGGGAAGCTTTTTCCCTTATAAATCATAAGGGAATTACACCTCTTATAAACTGTATCTCAAGATGCCTAGGTGGCTCAGTCGGTTGGGCATCCGACTTCAGCTCAGGCCATGATCTCACAGTTCGTGGGTTCGAGCCCCACGCGGGGCTCTGTGCTGACAGCTCCCTCAGAGCCTGGAGCCTGCTTCAGATTCTGTGTCTCCCTCTCTCTCTCTGACCCTCCCCTGCTCATGCTGTCTCTCTCGCTGGCTGTCTCTCTCTCAGAAATAAATTTTTAAAAATAAATAAATTTTTTAAAAAGTGTAAAGTAAATTGTATCTCGTTAAAAAAATCAACACCTTAACGTTTTAATGACATAAGCTAATTCAAAATAAAAGACAAACCTAAATACAGCCAGCATGTTGCTCTACCTCAGACATGGGTGAACTAAAACCTCCAACACTCTTTCTGTCCACCTGCAAGCTAGGAACAGCGTTTACATTTTTAAAGAGTTGTGAAGCAGCAACAAAGAATACAAGACTAAGCACGTGTCCGGCAAAGCCTACAATATTTTCTACCTGTCTCTTGACAAAAACAGACTGCCAACTCCTGCTCTACTTCATAATGGAATTTTGAGTCTCTCATAAACTAGATACCTTAATACTTTGAAGTTTACATTTAAGGCAATTAATGGGATTTCTCTCTCCACTCCCCTGCCATATCCTCTCTTACCAGCCACTTTCTTCACATATATTTACACAGATGTTTTATTATAATATACTCGGCTGGCAAAACAGAGGCTGACCATGTCCTTTGTTTCATAACAAGTGTTCTAGCACAAGGATTTTTCCAACAATGTTTAAGTTCCACAATGGATTAGTAAATCAGGCCTATGTTGACCAGAACCTATGACTTACGCCAACTTCTCCATCTGCACACATTCAATACTGGGGGAGGGGAATAGACTAACAGTTCCCCTTGCTAAGTCAATACACTGATTATTAATAGGCTGGAATAATATTCACCTAGCTTCAACAAGGACAGAACAGGTACGAGAGGGTGACTCAGAACCAAAGTCAATAAATGTGTGGGACATTTGTGGATCTGACAGTTAAGTTCTCTACCACTTACATCATACCATATGAAGAAGGGTTACTGACATTTATTTAAGACTAACAATAAAAGTAAAAAAAAAAAATCTATGCAAGCATAAAAGAACCAGTTCAATCCAATACCTATGAAAGTACTCAGAAATCGGGAGAGCAATATGAACCTATCAGACTAATACACCAAAAGAAGACTAGTAAGTAATACGTGCTATGGGGCACAAAGCTTACCAAAAATCATCTTCTAAGACAAGCAACACAAGAATAAAACATCCCTCTCTCCCAACACTAGAAAGGAAAGCTAGGCACCTACTTTCCTTCAAACTATCAAAATCTTTGAAAAGCACTCAAACTGAATCCTATTCTTCCCATATAATTAAACACTCTGGGGGCGCCTGGGTGGCTCAGTCGGTTAGGTTAGCCGACTTTGGCTCAGGTCATGATCTCACGGTTCGTGGGTTTGAGGCCCGCGTCAGGCTCTGTGCTGACAGCTCAGAGCCTGAAGCCTGTTTTGGATTCTGTGTCTCCCTTTCTCTCTACCCCTCCCTCACTAGTGCTCTGTATCGAAAATAAATAAACTATAAAAGAAATTTTTTTAACATTCTGCAGGAGAAAAAAAATCACAACTCCATACTTTTTTGAATTTTTTTTTTTTAATTTATTCTTGAGAGAGAGACAGAGCACAAGCCCTGGAGGGACAGAGCGAGAGAGGGAAACACAGAATCCAAAGTGGACTCCAGACTCTGAGCTGACAGCACAGAGCCCGATGCGGGGCTCGAACTCACAAGCCACAAGATCATGACATTAGTGGAAACTGAAAGCTTTGCCGTCTGAGCCACCCAGGTACACACACATCTCCATACTTTAAAGAAATGAAGGAATAAAACTTAAAGAGGATCTTATTTGAACTATGTTATAAAAATTCAAAAGTTTGAGGAAAAGTTTTTTATTTTTAAGGAAAAGTCTCTAATCAATACCGTTTGGATATATTGCATACACGAGAAACCAATTAAAAATACAATTTTTTTTTTAAATTCCAGGAGAACCTTTTTAGTCCTCAGCTGTAAATCCCTAAAACGCAAACCTACAAACCTCAGATCTTGAATACATACGGTATTTTTCAAAACGGTGTCAATAAGGGGCACCTGGGTGGCTCAGGCGGTTGAGCGCCTGACTTGGGCTCAGGTGACAATCTCATGGTTTGAGTTCGTGCCCCGGATAGGGCTCCATGCTGACAGCTCAGAGCCGGTAGCTGCTTGCTGATTCTGTCTCCCCCTTTCCCTCTGCCCCTCCCCCACTTGCATTCTGTCTCTCTCACATAAAAAAAAAAATTTTTTTTTTAAGGTGTCAATGAATTTACAGTTTCCTTTACATGCCTAACTTTCTGCACCGGTTTTACTACAATTTCTAAACAATGAAATTGAAACTACGCCACCAACATAATAAATATACAAATAACTTGTATCTTTAATTATAATACCAATTATTTAACGTGAGAAACACCAGCCTGAAAAAAGGCGCTGAAACCACTTGTATGCACTTCAGGAGTGTTAATTCACACACAGGACTTATTAAGCATTTATATAGCACATTTATATTTGCCAAGTGTTTCATAATCATTTTTACTAGCTGTTTTAGTCCAAAACAATCCATGAAAAACTTTACAGAAGAGGAACCTAGACCTAGAGAGGAACCAGAGAAAACCAATTTTCCTCTGGAGGAAATAACACCATTCCCTTAAAACATGCTAGATACTTCCAGTTACTTTTCATTGACAATATGAAATTTTCCAAAAAGAAGTTATTAATTAAGGAATGTGAAAAATATTAAGGAAACATTGTATTGAGTGCTCTCGAAATGCTTAAACACGTTCAAGTACTCTGGACTACTATATTATAGACACTATAAAGAAGGAAAATCCTCCCAAATGCCAAACTTAATGGTTAAATATAAAAGCGATTATTTTTCACACTTGCTTTAAAAAAAGTAAGCAAAGAAGCTCATTGAACACGCTTAAAAGTCAGGTCCTGTAACGAGAAGTCAGGTCGGCCACGAAAAAAGTAGAACCCAGCTAAAAAGCAGCGTGAAGAGGAAGTTCTGGAAGCAGTCAGAATCTGGAAGTCAGGATCTGCTGCTTAGCACGCTCGGTTAATACATCTTTCAGAAGATAATGTTTCTAACCAGAACTTGTGGTTTAATCTCAGCACCAGCAATGGATCACATCCAATGTTTTGGGGAATAAAAATTTGCCCCAGCGTTAGATGTGGAGGAAAAGTTCCTTTCCTCGCCCATTTAAACATCCCGATTTCTTTTATCTTGGTGTTATATCTCAATGAGAAAAAACTATGTGCTCACCCCGAGCGCAATTTGCCTGCGGAGTCGTCCTGACCCCAGGTCTCTCAACCAGAGCCCATAAACGTTAATTCCCGAGTCAGAGCTCGACTCCTCATCCAGCTAACAGCCCCAGCCGGTAAACTGCACGCTCTTCTTCGCCCTCCCCCTCCCTCCTACCTCCTGGGGCCAATTCCGTGACCCACATCCCCAGACCCTGCAGAGCCCCAAAGTCTGCACCCCCCCATTATACTTCCGCCCCGGTGGCTTCCCAGTTAACCTTCACCCCAGCCCCCACCCCATCTTTGTCTCGCTACGCCTAACACCACCTCAACGTCCCCCAACTCCCAACCGCAGCCCTTCCCCCGCCGCCGACCCCCCCCACCTTCCCGGTCTCTTCCCCCCCACGTCCCCCTCCCCTCGGCCGGGTCACCCCAGCTCCTCGCCTCCCCAGCCCCGCATGACCCGTCCCCTCCCCCAGCTTCCTCTGTCCCTTCCTTCCCCTCCCTCGGCCCCCTCCGCCCACGCCCACCCCTGCTCCCGCGGGTCCCGGGCAGGCCTTTCACCTTGTCCATGAGCTTCCAGCACTTCTCCACCATCTTCTTGTCCACGGTGCCGGGCGGGTGGGGGCTGAGGTGGTGGTGGTGGTGGTGGTGCGGCTGGAAGGCGTCCTTCATGAGCCCGATCAGGCCGCCCGAGCCAGAGCCCCCGGAGCCGCCGCCGCCCCCGGCCCCAGAGCTCTTTTTCACGTTGCCGGCCATGGCCCGGGGAGGGTTGGGGGCCCAGCCGCGTCCGCCGGCTCCGCTCCGCTGCGAGCGAGGGAAAGAAGGAGGGCGTGAAGGAGGGGCCTCTCCCGGCCGCCGCCGCCGCCGCCGCCGCCGGCTGTCCGGGCGGAGGGAGGGGCGGCCGCGGGGAGGGGGAGTGGGCGGTGACGGGAGCGCGGTCCGCGCGGGCGCGCCCCTTCCGAGAGCGCGAGCCCGAGGGCCGGAGGAGCGCGCGGCACTCAGGGAAGCCGGCAGCCTGGTCCGGACTGGGTAGCGACGACCCTCCCTGCGCCACCCCCTCCCGAGCCGCCGCTCCCGGAAAGCCGAGGCCAAGTTTCCGCGCCGCCTACCCCTCCCCTGCCCCCGGGGGCGGGACCAGGCAGAGCCTTTGCGCCTGCGCCCTCTGCTGGAGAAGCCGGGAAAGGAAGGGGGCGGGGCCTGGGTGGAGTCTGCGCATTAGACAGAAGCCGAGCCCTCCATGTTCCTTGTGGGTTGTAGGTTGGTGCTCTTTGGAGGGGTAATTGGGGTATTTAAATTAAGACAGCTAGCTGTAGAAAGAACCTTAACGTCAAGTCTTTCCCCCATGCCTGGTAAGTGAGGAAATTGAGCTTAAAGTCATTTGCCCCTTCACATTGTGGGAGAAAACCGGGTTATTTCCCCCCCCTTTGGTGTTTTAAACCCATTAGGTCGGCACCAAGGACAGGAATGTGAATGCTGCAGATGGTTCTAGCCTGATTACACGCCAGAAAGGCTTAAGACACTTAGGCCGCAAGCTCTTCTTCCAGGTCCTTTGACCTTCTGAAAACAAAACACTTCCCCCTTTTTTGGCTTCTGAACACTAGTTCCTTTTCTGGGAATTGGGTCTGTACTTGAGATTCCCCGGCTCAGCGGGTTGCAGCCCCAGCACCAGACCTTGACCACAGAAAGACAGCTGCGAGCCCTGGCCCCAGGAGTACTCACTCCTCTCACGAAACAAATGCAGTTCCCATTCGTTTCCACTTCTCTAATCTAAAAGCTTCGTTGGAAGAACTAAGAAAAAGGGAACTTTCTTCCTAAAGAAGGAAGTGCCCTGCCCTAATTTGCTAATCCTGAGCCTCCTCTCTGGGAGCTTGCAGGCTCTAGTGTGTCCACAAGGACTCAGTTCCCTCTTAGATCCTCCCACCAGGGTCCTTCACAAAGCCCTTGATTGGTTAAAGAATCAAGTTTATTCTGTGCCCATGTTAGAGGGGAGAAATATCTCTGGACTCAAAGACCTGTCAGCCAGACATCCTTGTTCTGCAATTCAGTGGCCTTTATCTAAAATTGATTAAGGAGTCAGCATTATGGTTTCCTATCAGTAGAATTAGAAAGAGAAGAAATCTCCCAAAGGAAAAATCTAGGCAAGGCTCTTCGATAATTGCCAGAACTCCCCATCTACCACCCTAGGTGCAGGCCCTCCCTTTCTCTCCCCAGATCTATTGAAACCTTTTCCTCACTGGTTTCCCTGCCACCTCCTATCCTTTCTGCCACCAGACCAGTCTTCCTGAATGACAGTTCTAACAGCGTCAGGAAAAAAACTTTAAGGGGCGCCTGGGTGGCTCAGCCTATTAAGCGTCCAACTTCAGCTCAGGTCATGAACTCACAGCCCATGGGTTTGGGCTCCACATGGGACTCTGTGCTGACAGCTCAGAGCCTGGAGCCTGCTTCAGATTTCCCATCTCTCTCTCTCTCTCTCTCTCTCACTCTCTCTCTCTGCCCCTCCCCCACCTGCTCTCTTTCTCTCAAAAATAAACATTAAAAATTTTTGAAAGAAAAAAAAAACCTTTAAACACTGCTGATGGTCTCCTGAATGAAGTTAACAGTCATGATCTAACACCAAACTACCCTGCAGTTTTATACCATCCCAATGCACATACTATGCCAGGTAGACTGAGCAAGTCACAAACCACAATTTTTTTTTCATCAACATTGCTCAGAGCATTCTCTCTGCCTAAAGCTGTGCTACTGAAGTTCAATCCATTCTTCAGAATTCAAATAATTTCTTCTTACCAGACGTTCCAGCTAGAAACAACCCTCTAAATTTTCGTAACTATTTATTCTTACTGCTACCACACATTAATTTATGCTACACTGTCTAGTTGACTTTGGTCTTCCACAGTACCTAACACCCGGGGGGGGGTGTTACACAGGGTATTTTCCCCCCTCATCATCAAATTGTGTTGTTTGTACAAATTGTATGGTTTGTACTTTGTTTCTGCTGAAGAAGACACATTTCTTTAAATATACAAATGATTGGGGTGCCTGGGTTGCTCAGTTGGTTAAGCATCGGACTTTGGCTCAGGTCATGATCTCATGGTCTGCAGGTTCGAGCCCCACATCAGGCTCTGTACTGACAGCTCAGATCCTGGAGCCTGCTTTGGATTCTGTGTCTCCCTCTCTGCCCCTTCCCTGCTCATGCTCTGTCTCTCAAAAATAAATAAATATTAAAAAATTTTTAAGTAAATAAATAAATATACAAATGACCTACCTCTCACATTTGAATAAAGCAGACCATTCTCTCTTCTATATCCCTTAAACACTCCCAGATGGGATCCTATTCAAAGGAAGACAGAATTCTGCTGAGATGATAGTTTCCTACTTTCACTTCTACACTGAAGTTAATGAGTAGGGCACCTGGGTGGCTCAGTCAGTTAAGCGTCTGACTTCTGGCTCAGGTCATGGTCTCACAGGTTGGTGAGTTTGAGCCCCAACAAGGGCTCTGTGCTGACAGCACCAGAGCCTGCTTGAGATTCTCCCTCTTTCTCTGCCTCTCCCCCGCTCATATTCTCAGTCTCTCTCTCTCAAAAAATAAATAAATAAACTTTAAAAAAAGAAATCACAGGCACCTGGGTGGCTCAGGCAGTTAAGCACCCAACTTTGGCTCAGGTCACGATCTCACAGTTCATGGGTTCAAGCCCCAGAGCCTGGAGCCTGCTTCACATTCTGTGTCTCCCTCTCTCTCTGACCCTCCCCTGCTCACGTTGTCTCTATCTCTCTCTCAAAAATAAATAAACATTAAAAAAATTTTAACTGACGTTAATGAAGAAAGAAGGAAAGATTGACCTTTTTTTGTTTTAATAATTTCTACTTGGCTTGCTTTCAAAGTGTACTCAAGATGGAACTGGATTGTTGATCACAATGTCATTCTTATTCCTGGGTTATTCTAGAGCTAGCTCAGTCTGTACCATCACATCATGTGACATGTGGCATTTTTATTACATTTCACCTTCACCCAGACCACATCCTCATTCTGCACCTGAATGTCAGTTGGTTGACTGAACATATTTGAAAAGTAAATGTTCTTCTGAGGCGTGATCTGTTGTTTGTATTCTGTAAACTCTGTCCTCAAAATGTCACCCAATACATCAGCATAACAGAGAAATTGATCATTCCGTGGCAAATGACCCCAAAGAGGCTTCTAGATGAGGAGAAGGACCAGGGTAAGAACCTCTACTGCATTCCAAGGCAGGGGGAAAGGGTTCTGTGTGGAGAATAAATGAAAACTCCAGACAACAAGCAATTGAACACACATGTGGAGGGGGTGCTTCAAATTCTGTATCTCCCTCTCTCTCTGACCCTCCCCTGCTCACACTGTCTCTCTCTCTCTCTCTCTCTCAGAAATAAATAAAACATACAAAAAAAATTTTTTTAAATGTGGAGAGGGGACAGAGATAGACATAGCTAAAAGAGTCCGCAGGTTCCTGAATCCACAGGGGGAAAATCCCTGACATTTTTGCTGTTTTCATTCTAGCCCAGAGATCCAGAGATGACAAGCCCCAACCGGGCTGGAAGGAGGTAGGGGATGCCTCACTCTGGAGCACAAGGGAACGACTTTCCCGAAAGTCGTTCTTCCAGCCACTCATGACTCCAGCAAGATGCTAGGAAGTATTCCCAAGAGGGAGGCACCCCCAACATGGCCCAATCATTTAAGTAGAAAATTTTAGGAGACACTGGGGGGGGTCAAGCAGGTCCACTAGAGGGAGCCCCGACCAACTCAATACCACAGTGAGCCCAGCAAAGTAGTCTCAAACCCAGTCTCATAAGGGAATAGGGGAAGACAGACAATAAATTAAGTCCCCCACAAGGGAGGATAGCCCTCTGAATACACAGTTGAAACCCAGGCCTTACAGGATTTACAAAATCAAAGACTTAAAGACCAGGAAACTGAAGTTGAGCAAAATTAAATGGCTTGTGCAAGTTTTCATAATTGGAGGGGGGACTAGAACCCATGGCTCTTGTCTCTAACCAGTATCCTTTCTTCTATGTTTGTAGCCTCTGTGTCAGCACCCTGGAGTCCGTGGATCTATCTCTCCTCTGTGTCCCCTTTCTCTGATATGACAGACTCTCTCAACTCCCTTCTCCTGCATTCCTTTCCCTTGTACACTAGAGAATGCCTTCCCCAAGCCTAATAATGTCGTTTGCTGATAAGCCTTAGGGATGTAAATTGCCCGAAATGGCTACTGTGAGCTCTTTTCCTCTGTATTAGCATAACAGCACCGTATCAGATGCATAACTCTGTATTCTGTAAGTCTCCAAACTTTAAGCAGCGCTTCGTGGAAATGCAGCATACTGATTGGGCTCCAAAGCCCTTTCTCCTCAAACTACGTTTAGAATTTAGGGATGCAGAGAGAATTGACCCTCTGGGACCTTGCTATTTTAAGCTTTGTACTTGGCCCATTCCACCTGTCTGTGACTCCATGTTTCCCAGTTACCTGGACAACACTCAGCCTCCGGAAACCCAACCTTCCAGTCCTGCCCTCAAAGGAAACGTGTCGCCCTGGATTGGCTCCCAGAACCAGGCTCCTCCTCAGGCTCCTAGCTGGTTGGGCCTTGTCTCTGTCCCTCTCCATGAGTGGGTCACCCTACAGGGAAACACAACAGAAGCAAGAGAGGATCCTACAGGTGGGACGAGGCAGGGTAAGGATGATGGGAAGAAGGAAGGGACAAGTACTGAGATTTATTTTCTCCAAAAGAGGGTGGAGAGGAATGATTTCCGTACATAGAACCTGACTGGTAGAAAGAAACAGCTCCACCTTCCCCATACCCCAGGCTTGCCTCAGGGTCCAAGGAGACCAAGAATGGAAGCTTCTGGAAGGTATAAGAGAACAGGCTTGGAGATTAAAACTCTAACTCTCCTGGGACTCCTGGTCATTCTAGGGGTCAGGAAAGCAACCTTAAGTCCAGACTTAAATACAAGTCCTCTCCTTCCCCAGGACAGCAAGGAGATGCCACCGAAAACCAAAGGAAAAGGGATGAAAGCTGCGACACAGAAGAAGAAAAAGAATGTGGGTGCTGGTGAGTCAGGGTGGATTGGAAGTGAGTGCCTCCTGCTTCTCCATGCTCTGGCTTGGAGACCAAGCAGAGGTGCTCCAGAGAGAATTTGGCCCTCTGCATGATGAGATAGAGCTTTCCTGAGACCCTCCCCCTTCATATCTTCCCTCCAGGGTCCATGCAGCTGGGAAATTGGGGGAATCGGCGTGTACCCATTCCATGGTGCCCTTATGGCTCTGTGTCTTCCCTGTGTATTCACCACACATATTCTGAGTGCCTACTCTGTGCTGGGCAGCCAGGACACAGGAGTGAACTCAGTAGGCCCTGCCATCAGAGATGTGTCCTCTAGAGGTCCTTCGATCTCCTGCAGGAAGAAAGTTCTGGGCGTGGGGTGAGGATGGGGAGATGTGAGGAAGGCTGAGATCATGATAAGCTGAGGCTTTGCCAACTTGTCAGATGTGGAGGCCAAATCTGCACACCGGCTTGCAGTGCTGGAAAAGGAGTTGCTCCAAGACCACTTGGGTAAGAAAGTGGAAGCTCTGGGACAGTAGGGGTGGGACAGGGGGACATTTCACATCCTCAGAGGCTCAGAGGCTTGGAGCTGTTGCGGGACGCTGGGCTGACCTCTGTCCATCCCCTGGTGGAAAAAGAATTGGCAGTGCGAGGAAGGGTTGGGTAGGGAAGGTTGGTGAGGATAGCTATTTTTTTTCAAATTTTTAATGTTTTATTTATTTCTGAGAGAAAGAGAGAGAGAGACAGTGTGAGCAGGGGAGGGTCAGAGAGAGAGGGAGACACAGAATCTGAAACAGGCTCCAGGCTCTGAGCTGGCTGTCAGCACAGAGCCCAACATAGGGCTCGAACCCACGAACCATGAGATCATGACCTGAGCCGAAGTCAGAGGCTCAACTGACTGAGCCACCCAAGCACCCGAGAATAGCTAATTTTTGTAAGCAGAACATAGAGGGCATTTTTCCTTCTTAGTGAGGAAGAGCTCATGGCATTCTAGGGACAAACCGACCAACCCAGAGGGAGAATGAGAGGCTAGAAGCCTGCCACTGGGTTCCCAGAGGCGGGCACAGTCCATCAAGTCCAGGGGGCCATGTGGGACTCCCAACCAGTTGTGAGCATGGCTCTGGTACTTTTCACAGCTCTGCGGAGGGATGAGGCTCGCCGAGCCAAGGCTTCTGAAGACCAGCTGAGGTGGAGGCTACAGGTGCTAGAGGCCGAGTTGGAAGAGGCCCGAAGTGAGGGGAAGGCCATCTATGCAGGTGTGTGGTTGGTCGGGCAGGTGGGCAGGAGACAGGGGCCTGGGAAAGGACAGCCAAGAGGGCCAGAGGATCCAAGGAAGTAAAACAAGGATTCCCATCTGCCATGCCCAGCTTTACCCTTCCCCGCTCAGCACGAATCAGGCAGGGTCCTGAAGAAACAAAGGAAAGCCTCCCGGGATCGCAGGCAGGAACCTTCCTCATCAGGATCATGCCTGATGCCATGTGCTTTGTGGATTACAAAATGCAATCGTGGCCTTTATCTCATTCATCCCATGGGAGTGGGGGGGCGGGGTGAAGGGCTACAATCTAGGCCCTGAGCTGGAATGGGGGAGGGGGGTTGGTTTCCCAGCTCTTCCCCAGCTTTTCAGGGTCTGCCAGCTTCTCACAACCACAAGAACCACCGAGAAGTCCTCTACGCTCCTGTCCCACTGGACCAAGAAGGCCCTCCCCACCCACAATGTCCCGTCCCTTCCTTTTTCCACCATTCCATCCACACCGGGGGACCCGTTACCCTCTGTCCCCACCACAGAGATGAGTCGTCAGCGCAGAGTCCTGCAGAAGGAAATGGAGACCCGCAGCAGGCAGCTGGAGGAAGAAGTGAGAGGCCTTCGGGAGCAGCTGGGTAGGCTTCCCCACCCCCTAACCCCTTTCTCTCTAAGAGGCACTGACAAGGTCCAGCAGGAGTGCACTTAAGATGGTCCTTTTCTAGGGGCACCTGGGTGGCTCAGTCAGGTCAAGCGTCTGACGATGGCTCAGGTCATGATCTCAATGTTCGTCTGTTTGAGCCTTGCATCAGCTCACTGCTGTCAGCACAGAGCCCACTCTGCCCTGCTCTCCCTCTGCCCCTCCCCTGCTTGTGCTCTCTCTCTCTCAAAAATAAATTAAAAAAATTTTTTTTAAGTTAAAAACGAAATCCTTCTCTAGAAGACTGCTATCTAAGCTCTCTTTTCCTTTTCTTTAGAAAAAAATTTTTTTCAACATTTATTCATTTTTGAAAGACAGAGAGTAAGCAGGGGAGGGGCAGAGAGAGAGGAAGACACTGAATCCAAAGCAGACTCCAGGCTCCAAGCTGTCAGCACAGAGCCCAACACAGGGCTTGAACTCACGGACCATGAGATTGTGACCTGAGCCAAAGTTGGACACTTTACTGACTGAGCCACCCAGGTGCCCTCTCTTACCCTTTTTGCCACCAACTGTTCCACCATGGAGGGTTGGAGTAGAGGGTTCAAGGTGGCAAAAACCTCTTAGGTTGTAACTAAAAAAGACCAAAGTCTCATCCCGTCTTCCTCTCTCAATGGTCTCTCCAAATCCAGATCTTTCTCCCCACCACTGCCGTGTCTGTCATGAGCAAAACACATTCCCTCTTGGCTGATTTTTGCAACGAAACTGAGGAAAGATATTTGACTTACGTTCATATCTTCAATGCCTCATGCATGCTCAGTCCTACATAAGTAGTTGCTACATAAAGGAGTAAACCTTCAAGATAAGCAAAAGTGTAAAAAAGAGGAAGTTTTTCCTTTCTCTCTTGGTTACGGAACGCAGTTAAACTATGTTAGCGTGCACTTAAGATCTTTCACAATCATGGTCTTAAAGGGTTTTTTTTTAATTTTTAAAAATGTTTTTATTTATTTCTGAGACACAGAGAGAGACCGTGTGAGCAGGGGAGGGTCAGAGAGAGAGGGAGACACAGAATCTGAAGCAAGCTCCAGGCTCTGAGCTAGAGCCCATGAACCGTGAGATCATGACCTGAACTGAAGTCGGACGCTTAACTGACTGAGCCACCCAGGCGCCCCAAAGTTTTAACCTAAAGTAGCCCCGGTTTAGCCACACATACCCAAGAGTTGCTCATCTGCCATGTAGACCCTGAATGCCTTTCCTCATCCTTGCCTTGTCTAGAATGTACATTCGATCAGCATTTATGGAGCGCCTTCTGTATATACTAGGTTATTTGTTTGTATACTCTTGCACTTAACTCACAGTAAGCCTGTAAGGTTTGGACCATTCTGTCTTTAAGGATAAAGAGACTTAGGCTCAGAGAGAGGCATGCCTGAGGTTACACGAGTTACAAGCACACTCTGGACCCACATCTCTTGTCCCAATCCCACTACTCTCTCTACTGAACCTTAAAGGTGTACGTCTGCTATGGGGCGCCTGGGTGGCTTAGTCGGTTAAGCGTCCGACTTTCGCTTAGGTCATGATCTCGCGGTTCATGGGTTCGAGCCCCGCGTCGGGCTCTGTGCTGACTGCCAGCTGAGAGCCTGGAGCCTGTTTCAGTCTGTGACTCCCTCTCTCTCTGACCCTCCCCTGCTTACGCTGTCTCTCTCTCTCTCTCCTAGAAATAAATTTTAAAAAACATTAAAAAAAAAAAAAAAAGGTGTACGTCTGCACTTTATAGGGACCATGAGAAAAGTGGTAATACTCGGGGGGAGTCTGGAATGATCGCATTCAAGTTCAAGTCTACCTTTGGAGACTGTTCACAGGTAGACTGTCACTACGCAATCCTTTCGCCTTCTGCCCGGCCCACAGAGACGTGCCGGAGGGAGGCTGAAGCCTCAAGGCAAGGGGCAGAGCAGGCCCTCGGGGAGCGGGACCAGACTCTGGCTCAGCTTCGCGCACACGTGGCAGACATGGAGGCCAAGTACGAGGAAATCTTACACGTAAGTTGGAATCCCAGCCACCCCAGTTGAATCCCACCTCCCCCAGCCCCACAAACCCCAACTAATATGGCAATGACAGACCAGGGGGAAGGAGGAGAAGCATCTCCACAGGGAGATCTGCCCTGTCTTGAAGGCGGACAGCCAGGGGATGAAACCATGCCTACTAAGTGTAAGAGCTCTGAGAAGACACTGGCAAGGAAAGCTTGTAGACTAGCCTGGGGCACCCCTCACGCTGCCCGCTCCCTTCCTGGGGCCTGAAGCTTGATGTCTGCAGGGCAGCCTGGACCAACTCTTGGCCAAGCTGAGAGCAGTCAAGCCTCAGTGGGATGGGGCCGTGCTGAAACTTCATGCCAAGTACAAGGAGCGGCTCCACCAGTTCGGACTCAACCCCCTGGATCTTTGAGGCTGTAAGCCTCTAGCCTCTGGGGCTCTTGGAGGCTCCAGCAATAAATCTGTCTTGATGCAGAACTCAGCAGAACCGTGGGCTGTGGCTTTTTGGCAGGGATGAGGACCTCCTATGCGGCAGCTTGGTTCTGGGCTGACCCATTACTCCGAAGACTGAACAAGAGGAGAGAAATTTGACAAGCTCTCAACTCTCTTTCAGAGAAACTGGGTCCCATGCCTTGAGTCTGGAGCTTTTTTGGTCCCTTCAAACCACCGTCCAGTACCCCTCACCAACGCAGGCTTTGTGGGGGAAAGGCCATTTCTGTAATAGACCAACAGGGAGTGAGCAGGCACCAGCCCCCACAACCCTAAGGTGCCCATAGAGGGAAGATGTAACTGGTCTCCAAATTCTTGCAATATATCCGAAACTCCTGGAGTCGTGCCTAGGGCAAGTTCCAGATGGCTGCAATCCCAGCCAGCCCACAGCCCATCTAAAAAGGGAAATCCCTGTGTTTCCTCTCTGTTTTACTACCACCCTCCCAATACTACTTCACTTCTGGTCAAGTGTGGGGGGCGGGGTTCCCACACGAAGAAATTCTGTAACAGTTCTCTGTTCACCAGCTGGGTGCCTTTACAGTTTAACTCAATTCCGGCACTACTGACATGAAGAGAGCATCAGATCCCTCAGGCTCAGCCCCACAAGACAGTCCCCACTTCCAATGCCAGTGTCACATCCAGGTTGTCACCCGTGCTTCTGACCAACAGGCCAAAACACAAAAGTTCCCACCACCCCGCCCCCCGCTTGGGTTCCATCATTTGCCAGAGTGGCTCACAGAACTCAGAGAAACATTTCACTCACTGGATTGCCAGTTCATTAGAAAGGGCACAAGTCAGGAACAGCCAGATGGCAGTATGCACAGAACAAGGCATGAGCGGGGGAGCTCCGTGCCCCCCCCCCCCGCCGGGTGCAGCACCCTACCAGCCCTCCAAGCAGTCAGCCACCCAGAAGCTCCCTGAACCCTGTCCTTTTGGTTTTTTATGGAGGCACGAGCAATGAAACCATTGGTCATTGGTGATTAATTCAACCTGCAGTGCCTCTCCCCTCCCGGGAGATGGAGGGTAGGGGTGGGGTGGGGCTGAAAGCTCTAACCCTCTCTAATCACGTGGTAGGTTCCCCTGGCACCAGTCCCCCATCCTTAGGTACTTTCCAAAAATCACTTCCTTAACAAAGGTAGATGTGGTTGAATGGGGCTTGTTATGAATAACGAAAACACCTTTCTCACTCTTATTACTTAGGAAATTCCAAAGATTTTAGGAGCTCCGTGCTGGGAAAGGGTATAAGTTATTATAAACCTCAAAACCACACCACTCCGTTCGTTTCAGGCAGAACTTCACCCTTGGGACACAACTCCCAAGGTCCCCAGGCCCCCGGATGGGCCTGCCTGAGGCCTCTGGCCACACCGTCTTCTGGGAGGTTGGACCCATGGGAAGGGAGGGAGACCTTGAGCAATCCTGTGATTGGGGGTGTCCAGAATTCTATGGCCGCAGCTTCAGGCTTAAAGACAGCTTCTCAGCTCCTACCTCCGCGAGGAGAGTGAGGACAGGAAGGCCCCTGGCAGGTCTGTGCCAGGCGGAGGAGGGCTATAGGAGCTCCGAGGGCAGAGCCCAGTCCTGAGCAGAGAGAGAAGACAGAAGGCCATTCAAGGACCAGAAGAGTTCCTTTCCCCTGTCCCCCACCCGCACTGGAATGCCCAGGACCGTGGCGTGTTCTGTGGGTCCTTCGGTCCCCACCTGCCATGGCCTAAAGTCCCAACGTGCCTGCCTCACACTGCTTCACCCTGTAGCCCTCCTCTCTGGCTCCCTCTTTCTCCGGCTGCTCACAGTCCATCTGTCTCTTCTTACCTCTCCGACCCCTGGGTAATTCCAGGCTTCGTAGCCCTGGGAGGACCTGGCGGCCAGCTTCAGGCAGAGGGGTGGCTCAGCCTCAACGAGCTGCTGAAGCTTTTCCACGTCATTCTCTCCACCCAGGGGATACCCATTCACCTCCAGAACCACATCTCCCATTCGCAGCCCCGCCCGGGCGGCTGAGCCTCCTAGGGTGACCTGGTGAAGAGGGGGGTTACAGAACGTGGGACACGGTGGGCAAGTTGCTGGATGCTCTAAGACCTCGGGAGAGAAGCAGATGAAGGCTCATTAGGAGGCAAGTGATTGGAAAGATCCAAGGTCCATAGGGCATAAGTCACCTGGGAGATGAAGAGACGTGGCTCGCTGGCCACGCAGGTAAGTCGGAAGCCATAGCCACCGCCGGACCCAGGGTACAGGAAGCACTGGCGGGAGCCACATGGGACAAGAGGCGTGGCTGTATCTTCAACTGGCAGGTCCTTGGTTTCAACCAGAGAGGCGGAGCAGTTTTCCTGGGGAGACGCAGCAGCCTCTGTGCTCTCCAAGAAGAGAAGTGGGGACAAGCGAACCTGGAGGGAGGCAGAAAGAACCAACCGGTGGCTTCTCCCCCGACCGGAGCCCTGCTCATTCCCGCCCCCGCTCCAGCCCCGGCCCCTCAGCTCGCACCATGCTGAAGAAGCGGTCAGCCTCAGGGTCGACAACGGTGAGGGAGACGGAGGAGCCCTGCTCCCGGATCCTGGACACCGTCTCCTCGTGGCCCAGCCCCTCCACGCTTTCCCCAGCCACAGCCACCAGCCGGTCCCCAGCCTGCATCCCGGCCTTCTCAGCTGGCAGTCCAGGGTCCACCTCCCACAGGAACTGTCCTAGGGCATAAACATCCTCATGGCTCCTCCCCCGCTGACCCCAGTGCCAGCCCAGGCCACTGTGGGCACACTGAGGGACTGACGGGGGGCGGGGGGGTGGGCCACACAGTACGAGGAGGCTCAGGGCTGCAGATGCCACTTACTGTGCACGGAAAGCCCTGTGTGAACACCTGCGTGTCCACCCCAAGACACACCTTCCCTACCCGCCCCCGGGGCTACCACTCACCTGGTTGGCCATCCAGACCTTTCTCTTCCCGAAGCAGGAACCCAAAGCCCTTGGGCCCCTTCTGTAGGTGCAGACGGCGTGGCTTGGCGGGCAGTGCCCAGCCCTCCGCCAGGGGCGCAGCCAGGGGCACTCCCAGCCGGCGACACTGCTCCTCCACCTCTGGCCCGGCCACCAGCAGGGTCACTTGCTCTCCACTCTGCGAAAGCTGTAGGGGACCCAGCAGGGCGTCAGCATCAAGGCATCAACCAGCTACGTAGGGAGGGCAGAGGCAGGCCCTCCTCAAAGCCACTCAAAGGTGACACTGAGGGTGGGGGAGAGAAGAGCCTAGCAGGGACTGTGAAGGGAAGGGTAGCAGGAGGTATGAGGTCAGATTAGAAGAGGAATGCCAGGGGAGGGACCTGCCGCCTGAGGCATGGCCCCCGGGGCCCAGATGGGTGAGACCGGGTGGGGGAAGCAGGCTGCCGTACCTTCCTGCGGAGTTGGTTATAAGTGAGCTTCTCCACGCTGACCCCGTTCACTTCCAGCAGCCGGGCCCCAGGGGGCACCCCTGCCCGCTCAGCTGCTCCTCCAGTACCCAGCACCAACCAGAAAGGACCCTGATAACCTGGAAGCCAAAAAAAAAAAAAAAACCAAACCAGCAAGTTTCAGTCTGCCGCCTGCCCAGCACTGGGCTGAGATCCCCGCTCTTAACCTCCCACCCGAGCCTCAGGGCTCACTGTAGGTGACACTGAAGCCAAAACCGCCCTCATCTTTCACTATGTGACACAGTCGGGGCCGGACCCCTGGGCCGAGAGTAGGAGAGACGTGGGCACTGTTTCCCTGCAGGGCTTGAACCGCGTCATACACATGCTGCGCCAAAACCGTCAGCAACACCCGCGGACCGCTGGCCCGGATGCGGCGCACCACCTAAAGAGAGGGCATGCAGGGGGGAGGTTGGGGCTGGCCCCTCTTGCCAACGCCCCCTCCCTGGAACCAGCTCTCTAGATGCCTTCACCCAACCATCCCGACCTGGGCAGCCCTAAATCCTGGGAGGTGGGGGAGGCCGAGGCTTAGGGACTGCCCCCGTACATCCCCTCGAGGTGCTAAGGCCCCAGGGAAGCGCCAGGCCAACCTCACCGCACCATAGTCTTCATGTTCCACAACGTGGTCGTTCACCCCTAGGATCCGGTCCCCTTCCCGAAGACCCTGGCACTGGGCAGAGGTGCCCGGATCCACCCTGCACACCACAGGCACAGCCTTGGCCAGCTCCTGTGTCAGGTGGAAGCCAAAACTCCCGCCCTTCTCTTTGCTCAGCAGACAGAAGCGAGGCCGCTCCAGGCTCCAGAGATCTGGAAGGGGAGGTGGGCAACAGAAAAGGGGGAGAGGGGACGTGGCCCCAACACAAGTCACCTTGTGCCTGGCAGACCCTACCCTTGTGATAGGGCACCGGGCAGCCTCCCAGTTAAGTATTGGGCAGTGGGGCCAAATACCCAAATGTGGGAGGAGTGGTTTGGACAAAAGAAAACACCCAGCCCCCTCCTTCCTCCACGCAGTTACTCCCCACTGAGCCTGCTATCAGAGGGAGGCCCGGTGGAGTGGTTACCAAGGAGACGGGAGGGGATGAGGAGCTGTGGTATCTCTGGGGAAAGGGAATGGTTGGCCAGGGCAAGGGGGTTACCGGAGGGGTCGTGGTCTTCAGCCAGAGAGAGGACAGGATTGTCAATGCCCTGCTTTGGGTTAAACTCAAACTTCCTGCAAGGAGGCAAGGGACACAGATAGGAGCAAGCTGACATCCTGGACTCTGGTCCCGATCTGTTTGAGGTGCTAATGAAGGCCTTCCCCACCCTGGATCCACTCCACCCCTTGCCCCAATCCTTCCCAGAAGGGCACTTACAGAGTTAAGGAGGCTGAGTCCTGAAGATCTGCTGTGCAAAGAAGGGATGAGGAGAGGAGGGGCGCATTCCCTCCCCATCGGACTCCTCTTCCACGGTCATTAACTGTCATTAACTGAAAGGACTTGGGGGACCCCCCAAACTCAGGACTTGCCCCCTCCATCCTGCTCCAAAAGGACCTTCCCTTCTCCAGTCTTCCCTTCGCCTCCCAGTCCGGGCACAGAAATTTGAGCATATCAGGACAGGGCGTGGACCAGGAAGACAGACCCACCCACTCACCTCTTCTCCTCTCATTCCCGGTCTATTTGCCTCAGGGCTCCAAGCCCCAACATCAGGTACACCCTGGTCCCAAAGCTTTGGCCTCCCAATCTGCCCTCTCACTGCCCTCAAGTCCCCACCAGAGGATTTCTCCGTCTCCTACCTGCAGCTGCTTCCATAGTTGGATCAGCGGCCCAGCGCTCCAGGTAGGGACAAGGTCCATCAAAACCAGCTGATCCTCCCACCCAACCTGCCACGGCCCGCCTCCTTAAAGACACTGCCTTAGAAGCAGTGGGGTAATGGTTAACGGCAGGACAGTCTTATCCTCTGGGGAAGTATGCCTGTTCCTCCTGCCCCCATTCCTGGGCCCCAGCTCTCTCTAGAGACCCCGCAGCGGTCCCAGCTTCTGCTCTGGGCAGACAAAGGTGGGTTGCTGATCACTAGGATTCAAAGCCCAGGATACCTAAGTTTGGAAAGGCGATAGAAGTCCGATAGCCCAGTGTGACCGCCTCCGACCCCAGGATTTTGTTCCCGGACCACCCCCTGGCCCTCACTGCCTCTGAACCTAGCGTCCAAGAACCACCTGCAACAGAAAGTGGTCCCCAAACAGTGCCCTTTCTTGAAAGCACCAGGCAAGAAGGAGGCCATCGTGGGTGGAAGACACAGCTTTTTAATGGAAGCAAGGCAGTGTGCAGGCCCCTCAGAGCCACCTAGCATAAGTACGATTGTGAGAAAGGGGGCATGAAGGTGAGGAGAAGGCACCAATGAGAGAGGAAAGTGGCTCCGGGCATCCTCCGTGTCCTCTGACGGGTAGAAACATGCAGAAGGTGGAGGCCCTCCAATGCATCCCTTGGCAACATCTCTGGGGGGGGGGGGGGGGCAGACACAAGAAGTGCGCCCCCTGGTGGCACAACTGGAAGCTCCTTGCGTGGACAGAGACGAGGCTGGTGGTGCCACAGGGCAACTGGCTACCAAGATGCCACATCGAAGTGTTTCTCAGTCTGCTTGGCTGAGTGGAGAGGAGGCACGTTCCATGACTCTGGCAATTCCAGACTCAGGAGCAATAGTTGGACGTGCCCCCAGGAGAGACGGGCACAGCTGTGCCCAATCCTTCACCTCCAGCCCCACAGGGATCCTCCTGGAAGTAGTAGTGCAAACCAGGAGACCACAGAGGGAAGGGTCTTGGGGCTGGGGGTCACCCGGCTCGGTGACTGCTGCCCCTGCCTCAGCTTCCAGGGCCTCCCAGCTGCTCCAGGAGGGCCCTGACCTCACCCTCCACTCGCAGCAGCTGGGCCTTGCGCCAGGGGTTAAGGGTGTCCCCTCGGCTGTCTTCCAGATCCCGAAGCAGCAGCTCAAGGTGGCGCCGGACGCGGCCGCGATCCCAGCTGTTGAGGTTCCGCTGGACTTCACTAAGGATCACCGACCAGTACTCAGACACCGCTGTCCCCTCTGTCAGCGACACCACGACACGGGCACCACCTTTAGCAGTGCCCTGCACGTCCCGCAGAGCCTGGCGGCCCTCTGAGCTCAGCTCATTGAAGTAGAGGCTGGGAGGAGAGAGAAGAGAAGATGTCATCTGCGGGGCTCTCAGAAGGAGGGCAGAGGGTGGACGGGACAGAGACTGGGGGATCCTCACGACTCCTCCCCTAGCTGTGGAATGTGATGGGGTGTGTGCCCTGAGCCAGAGCTGGAGGGGGTGGCCAACAGGAGGCGGGGATGACATCTGAATCTAGCAGGACCGGAGACAGGAGGGATGGGGCCATGAGGACCCTAAGAGAAATGGCGGTAGGGAACCGGGGTGGGGTAAGGCGCGGTGGGTTCCGAAGCGGGTCTCTGAGGGCCAGGGAGAAGGCGGGGGTAGAGCCCAGGCCCTAGCGTAGGAAGAACACAGTGGAAACAGGAGGGAGACTGAAGGGCTGGGACGGGGGTGGGGGGGGGGGTGGCACCGGGGACAAGACTTACTGCAGCAGCTCCAGGGAGGGGTGGTCCCGGGCCGCGTGGGCCAAGGCCAGAGCCGCTGTGTCGCCGGCACCATTGTAGGCCACGTTCAGCTCCTGCAGCTGTCGGTTACGGTCCAGCTGGGCGGCCAGCAGCTCCAGGCCCTCGTCCCCAAGGCCCGTGTGCAGCAGGGACAGGTGTGTCAGCGAGGTGTTTCCAGCCAGCCCCTCCAGCAGCAGGGCCACACCGGCCGCTGTCAGCGGGTTGTTGGACAGCCTACAGCCGCAAGCACCCCAAGGTTACGAGGGCCGGCGGCAGATACCCTGCACTGGGCGGCGGGTCTTGGACCGAAAGGGGAGTCTGGACACAAAGGTGTGCAGGCCCGGGAGAAGAGCAGGAAGAAACAGGGGTGTGGAAGAGCGTACAGGAAGGCAGAGCAGGGCGGGGGCTGGCTTCTCCTTCCTTCTATTCTCTTCTGCTGACTCCCCTCTCTTCACCCTTACCACTTCTCTCCTTCCTTTCTTCACCTCCTCCCCAGACGGCCCTGCCCCTTGCACTCCCCCTCCTCATTCACCCCTCCCCTTATTCCAACCAGGCTTCTGGGTTCCTAATAAAGCAGTCAGTGCTTTGGAAGCATCTGTTGAGTGCCCAGCATTAGGGTCATCCTCGCGAGGCGACGGGGGAAATCCTGGGAGAGCATCAGCAGCACTGTTGCCAGGCAACCGGCCTGGCTATTATCCGCCCCCCCACCTCCGACCCACGGTGATTTTAGCCACCAGAGAGGCTCTCTTAGCATCCATTCCTGGTGGCAGCTTTCCTCCAACCCGCTGGACCTGGGTGGAGGACGGGGTCTAGGCCCCCACCCCCTTCGCCACACCATGGGTGGGCCAGCGCCGGGTGTGTTGTGAGGCAGGAAGCTCACCCTTGGCCTCAGCTGCCAGCAGGATGGCCAGAACGTCCCTTCACCCCCTCCCGAAACACTCACCGCAGGGTGGCGATCTGGCACTGGTCATGCAGCAGCAGGTCTCGGAGGACCCTGCAGGCCTCAGGGCCCAGGCTGTTGAGTTGCAAGCTGGGGCGGAAGGTGGCCAGAGGGAAGTGAGAAGCAAGGAAGGAGTCTGGCATGGAGCCTGCCCACCCACGGCGCCCTTTTCTCACCATCGTGACTCTCAGCCCACGCTGCCCTCCCTTCTATTGCTGGTCACCTGCACGTACCCCAGACTTCTTCATCTCCCCCCTCGCAGTCCTTCCTCACTCCCTTTGGTCTCCCCAGCACCTTCTCTTCCCACCTCTTCCCCAGCCCTCCCCTGTCTTCTGGCCTGGCGCTCAAAGGCAGGTCCTCACCCCAGCTTCTGGGCACGCAGGAAGACAGGCCTGAGCGTGTGCAGCCCGGCAGGGTCCAGCTGACAGGAGGCCAAGTTCACCTCATCCAGGGCGTGCCTTCCACTGCCCAGCACAGCTGCCACCACCGTGCACTTGAGGGGCGTCATGCGCACACCGGCCAGGTTGAGCTGGCGCAGGGAGCCGAGCACCTCGGCAGAGAAGCGCTGATTCTGGAACTCGTAGTGGAAGAACAGGTGGTCCAGGAGCTCCGACGGGGGCAGCACCTGACGGCCCAGCTTGCCCAGCTTCTTCTTGATGGCCTGGGCGTTCTCCAGGGCATCCAGGTTCCTGATGGGGCAGCCGAGCTGAGCCAGCACGGCCCGGTTGTGCGCAGACAGGAGCCCGCCCATGAACATGGGGAAGAGCTCGAAGACCTCATCGTCAGGAGGCTCATCGGGGTGGCGCCGGGGGCCCTCCACGCCCAGGATGCTGGCGCCTATCTGGTCCAGGACGTCATCGTTGTAGTAGTCTTCTTCTCGGAACATCTCCAGCACCATGGCCTGGGCGACCGCCTCGCGGCTCTTACCCGCCACGCGCCCGAACACCCGTGGGACCACCTGGGAGGGGACGCAGGGACAGGGCTGCAGCCTCCCGCAGGCCCACTCAGCCTTCAAAGCTCACTCGGCCTCACCTTCTCTCGTAACCCCCCAGCACGATTTGTCTGGCCATACTACTCCCCGACTGCAGCACCCACCGTGGCTCCCCACTGCCCATGCGGAAAGGAAACTTGTCATAGTTTGGCCCCAATTTGACCTTTCCAGAGTCACCTCTCGACACCTGTGTCACACACTCCTGACATCAGGGGATTCTTTTCCACAGACACCCCATACGTTTGCGAGCCCCGTGGTGGGAAGGAATTCTTATCTGTTTTGCATTTTGTTTGGTGCCAGGCAAGGTGCTATGAAGATATCCTCACCTTCCACATCATCACGGTCACCCCAGCAACAAAGACTGACGTCACTCCTGCTTATTCAAGGCCCTTCCAGCCACACTGCTCTCGTCCACAGACCTCTCACGCTCCCGCACTCTGCTTCTGTCCTTTTGGCTTCTCTCATGATTATCATTTGATACTACCACAGTTCTATTCCTTCAAAGCTGTATTCTCTTTCTGGGGTGACTCCCCTCCCCAATTCTTCTCCTTGGCTAATCCCCCAGGGTCAGGTTAAATGCCCTTCCTGCAGAGAGGTTTTTCACATCCCCCCATCAGGTCCCCCACTTACACGTTTTCACAGTACCTGGGACTTTGCTGTCTAGGCACTTACCATGATTTTATTTATTTTTTATTTATTTTTCATTTTTTCTAATGCTTTATTTATTTTTGAGAGAGAGCACGCAAGTAGGGGAGGGACAGAGAGAGAGGGGAATAGAAGATCTGAAGCAGGCTCTGTGCAGAGCGCGGCAAGCTTGATGCGGGGCTCAAACTCACCAACCGTGAGATCATGACCGGAGCTGATGTCGGGCGCTCAACCAACTGACCCACCCAGGCGTCAAACCAAAATTTTAAATCACACAGTCCCAGGGACACGTTCGTGTTCCCCCCGGAGGACCAGAAAGGGCAGAACCCTGGGGTTTTGTTCATGGTTTCTTCCTCAGAACCTAACGCATTGCCTGGTACACAGCAGGCACTCAAATGTTTGGTGGGGAAATTAACGTATGGGAGGCTGAGGACATCATCTCCTGTCCCTGCCTTGGTGCTGAAACAGACAACAGGGCCCATGGCTCTGGCAAGGAGCCACGAGGTAGTTTTGAGGAACCTCCTCTAACGGCTGGTTTAGGGGGTTCTCTGCCCCTTTCTTTATAGGTGAGGTTCCCGCCATCACCGGGTGACGACCTCAGAAAATGTCACCCGTGAAGCTGA